TTCATTGTGAATTTACACTTGATAAATGGCAATTTCCTGTCCTACATTTATATTTTCACCACCAATTTAGCATGCAGCAATTTATATTTAATCATCAGGGCTTTGCGTTAACACCTGCCAATGTGTGGATTTTAGCATTTTAGGATTTCAGCTGGTTGATCTTTATGAAGCCGGGTTTATGGCAAATGGTTTAATCATTTAATATCTTAACTGCCATTGTAATCGCCTGGTTGTTTGTCCAAAGGTAATTTTACCATCAAAAATGAAAAAAATAAAGTGGTAAACAGAATTTAACCAAAGATTTTGGTACAACAATAAAAAAAAAAGTTGAAGGGTTAATATACTGTAAAAACTTTTTTGCCGAAAGCTGATATGCATAAAAAAAGAAAATAACAGCCATTAAATTACAGAAATTGACCGTAAAATAACGGCCGTTAAAATACAGAAATTTACCGAAAATCTAAATGTAAAGAAATTTCTGTTATTTAACATCTGTTATTTTACGGTAAATTTCTGTCATTTAACATCCGTTATTTAATGGTAAATTTCTGTAATTTAACATCCGTTATTTTACGGTACATTTCTGTAATTTAAAATCCGTTATTTTACGGTAAATTTCTGTAATTTAACGGCTGTTATTTTACGAGAGAAAAAAAGAGACATTTATAACACATACTAGTATCTATTTTTATGCAACTGGTCCTTGTTTGTTTTTACACTCTAATACCTTTTCATATAAGTTAGGGCTTCTTCTTTAAAAGGTAGTACCTTTTCAAAATACTTGAACTTCTTCAACTGTGAGATGTTTTATATACTATCATTTACCTAATCGATATTAGTATTTATATTTTAAGATACTCTTACTCCCAGGGCCGTTTATATTGAAGTTGATATTTAGCAGCACCATGTTGGTGTTTAATAACATAAATTTTTTTACGAGGTGGGCTGTTAGCGCAACGCTCAACTCCCAACCTGGAGGACTAGGACATGCACACATACACTACGGACAATTTAGCATACCAAAATAGTGTTTATTTTTGGACTTTGAGGGAAACTGGAGCACTTGGAGGAAACCCACACGAACATAGGGAGAACATGCAAACTGAACAAGCGACCATCTTGCTGTGAGGCAACAGTGCTACCCACTGCGCCATGGTGCTGCTCAATATATCTTTTGTACATATTAATAGATGCCAGCTGTCCTTTATTACATACTGATATTTATTTAATAGTTGCTAATTCTTATTTATTAGATATTAGTACTTTTATTGACACTCATATCTATTATATATATATATATATATATATATATATATATATATATATCATATACTATCTATATATATCAAATACTATAATTTATTTGAAATTTTACACATAGAATTGTCATTGAACTAACATACAGGTAAGATGAGTAAAGAAGCAGCTGTGACTGTTATACAATATACAAACACTTACTGGTATCATTTAAAAATGATTATTGTTGGTGTCTACAAAAATTGAGTAGGCAACTAGTATTTAGCGATGAACTACTCTACCAGTATATTACAAAATATGTACTAGTCAGTAACATTTGTACTTCTAGTATACATATATACTAGTCAAAACTGAATCATTTATACTGTATGTAAATAAATTAAAAGAATAGTTCACCCTAAAATAAAAATTCAGTTAATTCGCTCAAGATGTAAGTGACTTTTATTCAGCAGTTAAACTGAACTGTAAAGAAGTTGGTAATTTATACAAAAGCAGTCATTGTTACGTTTCTAAAGTTAAAAATAAACACACATCCATTTAAATCAATAGCCATGGCTCCTGGCAAAATGAAGTGAAGCCTTGTGAAGCGAAACGATTGGTCTGTGAAGGAAATTGAACATTATTTACAACATTAATAGTTTTAATCCATAGGCTGTTCAATCAGTTGTCGGGACGCAAGTTCAATTATCAGAACAGAGTCATGTCTACGAGTGCCAATTTATAGCAGTTGCCACATCTTGGAAAATCACCAGTAAGAACCAGTTTGGCACAAAAGTCGATCGTCACTCTGTTATCCCCTTGCGCATGATAACATTATTTTAAGTAATGTTTTATTTCTTGCACAGACTGATCATTTTGCTTCATAAGACCTCAGTAACATCAGGAGCCATCAGGATTGAATTGGACATATTTGTAAGTTTATTTTATTTTTTTAACCTCAAAAACAGGTGACCATTAACCTGCATTATACAAATTATAGGGATGTAACGGTATCAGAATTTTACGGTACGATAATACCTCAGTATGAATGGCACGGTACGGTATTTATTGAATAATTTACAGGAAAAACAAAACTAATGAAAAGACTTGAAAAAAGAGCCAAAAGTGTTTATTTACCTCAGCACTGAACATATCAATGACATACAAATTAGCCTTCTATCTGTAAGTTTCGAAACAGGAACTTCAATTTTTTTAATTTTAATAACAAAAAACTATTAAACCATATAAAAAAAAAAAAATAAAGTTTCAATTCAGTATTGTTGAAAACTCATCACATTCAACATTTAATCACTCACTCACTTAGATAGAGATGGGTTTTTTAAGGAAAAATATCATATAACTATAATCTGGGAAAAGCTGGGATCTCTGGGCATGTCCCCTGCAACAAAAAAAACCTCTCATTTGGGACTGAGGTTTCTGGGACAGAGATATATGATTTAGCCAAGGTTGACAGCAGTGGGTAACATTGTGCATTGTCTTTCCCCCACTTGAGAGGACAAGTCATGAGTGAGATAGAGGTTTCTTTGCGGTACAAGTCAATGTCTGCATCAATCTAACAAGTGTGCTGTGTTCTGCTGTCCCCATGACTGTTTTTAGTCGTATTCCCCGACTTATATTTCACCACAGTCTGGCAGTGCCTGCATACTGTTTTTTTCTTTGTCTGTCACATTTTCTATTTTTTTGTATCTTTTTTCCACACATCCGATTTAAAACCCGCTTTGGGTTCGATCATTTCCAGCTCTTTTTCTTCCCCGCTACTGGCAACACACTCCATTTCCGCATTACTGGATCTGTAGTGACAACAGACCGCAAAGGATGATGGCCACGCCTAGGCTGATGGGAATTGTAGTTCCCGCTACCTCCCGTTCGTTTCATTCGCCTAAGCAAACTTTTCTCAGAAATATAGTTTTATTGAGTCATCCGCCTACGGTAATATTGGAAAAAATTACTATTGCGGTATGACGGTATTTACAATATTGTTACATCCCTAACAAATTACCAATGAATTCAGAATGAATTCAACAAATTCAGCTAAAAACCTTAATATTTTCTACAGAAGAAAATAAAAGTTACCTACATTTTCAAAATTAATCAGGTGTCAAACTAAGTTGGGGTTGCAGCTCTGCAGAGTTTAGTTCGGACCCTGATGGCCCGTTTCCACTGAGGTTCGGTATATGCTTTTATGGCCATTTCCACTGTACCATACAACTTTTTGGGTACCCTTTGCAAACAAACCGTGCAATGTCTAGATGTACAGCCAAAAAGAAAAGAGGAACAAAATCTGCCATGTCCTGTTTTTTGTTTTACGAGGCCGTCTAATAGTGCAAGTAGTTTCACTTTCAGCTTGCGATCGCTCATGTGCACGTCTATATTTGAAATAATGAACTCTTTCAGCTGATGATAATAACATACGCTTGATTATTGCAGTGCTTCTGACATCTGATCCTTTCAGAAACGGACAAATGCAAGAGTGAAGCACAAAAAACAAAGGAGCAAATGATTTTGTCTCCAACCTAAACCATAAACAAACTGCAATGTTTATCATCACCTTTCGCACCATTATGAACTCGGAATGACGGAATTACTTTTTAACAAGAGGTTACATGTGCTGGTGAAGATTAAAGATACAGATGAGAGGTTTGCGTGTTGTTTTTGAACCCAAATGACTAAATGAATGCTGTGTGTAGTTTTTCTTTAGCTAGTAACATGTGTTCATACATATTGCATTTATTTATTTATTTTCTATAATTGCAGACGTTACAGAGGGCTATGTCATTGAGCTGCAGTCATAATTAAAATCATGTTCATAAAAAGGTTAGTAATGAACATTTATACACAAGTATTTATGTGTATAAAGCATCTGTTTTGTGAGAAGTGCTTTTTATATGATATGTGAACGACCCATACAGCTTTACTTTGAGTAAGATTTCCTCGAGCGAGAATGACTTCGACTGAAACTTTCTGTCATACACCACGCCCACCAAATAGGTGGCTGACAAAGGCCTGATAAAGGTGACCCGTACCGTATAGTACTTGACCAGACAGTGATCAAGTACTGATCAACACCTGATCAAACTAATTGAGTCCTTCAGTAATCAGAATAATTAGTAAAATCACACAGCTCTGGTTATTACTGTTCTATTCACCATCCTGGCAGATCTTTTAATGAAAAAAAAAAGACTTTGGCTGCTTGTTAGACTAACATTGTATTTGCTGTTCCTACTTTAAAAGTGAACAGTTACCAGTTACATCAAACTCAACAGGGAAAAAAGAAACTTTTGATGGTTTGGAACTACCTGAGGGTGATTAAATAGCGAGTAAATTTTCATTTTTGAGTGAACTTTCCCTTTAAAAATGATGGTGAGATTTACAGATGAGGAACAATTCCACAGTTTTGAGTGACTACTTCACAAAAGAACAATCCAGGCATATGTCGGCTGTTTTCATGTAGATAATTGTTTACAGGCTGAATTGTGTCGTCACGCATGGAAGGATGTGCTTTTAAACTCTCAGCTTTAATCGGTCACGCATGTTAATTAGCCACAAACACACGCTGATTGACAGAACTTCATTAACCCCAAGAATTTTAAAGGGGAACTCCGGGACAAGTGATTGCCAGGATGAAATGTGAAATTCTCCCCCAAGCTCTTGCCAGACTGTTTCTTTAAGAGCTGCTTTGGCTCTTCGTCTCCCTCCCCTCTCCGTGTCCCTCAAACAAGCTCTCAGATTGGCTCTTCAGCTCATTCGGGAGTGTGCCAGTCTCCATTTAAGAGTAAATATGTGAAACCTGTTTCAGAATATGACCAGACATCAAGCAGGAAACACAGTGCCAGATGCAAAACTTCACCTTACAGTGGAAGTCTATGAGGATTCTACATGCAGAAAGGTAAATCAGTTTAACATTCATTTAATCTGGTTCCATTAAGCTGCAATGTTATTAATATTATTTCATATTTTATGAATTTATTATTTTAGATTCATTTCATTTGACCTATTAATGCATTTAAATCTCCTTAATCAGTTTAATAAATGTTATTTTAATTATTTATAACTTTGTTCTATTTATTTGTTTGTCATTTTAATACTTTGGGGCACTATTGTTTGATATTTATTGAATACTACTATTTAGTTTAATCTTAATTGTATTGTACACATTATAAATACATTTAAATCTCCTTGATCAGTTCAAAATTTATTTAATCATGTTTGTAATATTTTATATTATTTCATAATTTTGTTATATTGATTTGTTTCTATTATTTATTTTGTATTAAATTACTTTGGGGCTTATATATATATGATATATATATATATATATATATATATATATATATATATATATATCACAATTATTTCTTTGTAATTTTGGTGATTTCTATTAAAGTACCCACATATAATTGTATGTGCCCTCTGGGTTTACAGTATTAGTAGTATATACTGTATGCAATTACATTATAGTTACTATATATTTTATTATAAGTTATTTATTATGTTATGTTATTTATTATTATACTTATATACATGTATATACATCAGGGCATTTTTTATACCAGTTGGCTATCCAGTACTTGTAAAACTACATCCTAAAAACCTTGAAGTTTGTAAAATTATACCCAAAATGAGGTTGTTAACGTTAAGAAGAGGTTCTGTCTCTGAATTTACCATTTCTTCGCCATGTTTGGTTACAGCTCTCTTCTCATGAAGACTGAAATATGCTTCAAAGGTAGCGACTGAGAAATTGCTGATACTCAGCACTTTCAGCTTTGATGAATTTGCTCGATTTACAGAACAGATTTTTTTTTCTATTTCTTCACATCAACGGCCAGAGAATATAAAGCAAATGGCACATGTGTCATTCAACTCAGAGCTTTGGGAATAACAGAACATTTAGCATTCAAGATTATTTGCTTTCCCCCACATTTTTTGGAGCTGAAATAAAACAATATCGTAACTTCTGAAGGGAAGATGACCTTTTTCAGCCTCAGCAGTTTCATGAAAAACAGAACATTTAGCATTTAACATGATTTTGCTTTTCCTGACATTTCTGCATTTTTGGTGCTAAAATAAAACACATGAATCGTAACTTACTGAAAGAAATATTATGTTTTTCAGAGTCGACATATCTTTTGGAATTTAAGATTATTTCTATTCTCTAAAGACTCTCATCTATGGCTCTCAATAAACAACTTAAAGGAAGGTTTTAATTTTCAGTCTCAGAACATTAAAGTAAAATTAACCCCCACACACACTTTTTAAAATCAAGGAAACCCATTGTAACTTGGAACTGTAATGTTGACTATTAATTAGTTAACTTAATCATTTCAAGGCAATGGGTTTATTCAATTTCTTTGAGTGAAGTCAAAGAACTGCATTAAATTTGACAGGTTCACTCACTTTTTTTTACAGTGAAATATTACATTTTTCAGCCTAAAAGAAAAATCGAAAAACTTCTTAAAGGAAACATAAAATAATTATGTGAGACTCAATGAACATTTAAAAATATCTTGAAGGAAATATAAACATTTTTAGGCTCTAAAAAACATGAAAAAAAAAACCTACTAAAGAAAATATAAAATTTATATGTAACTATTTTTATATTTTTTTCCAATAGGTTTTTTTATTCATGTTTTTTTTACTTTTTTAAAAATATATAGTTAAACATTCTTTAAAAAGAAAATATAAACATTTTCAGCCAAAAGAAAATATCTAAAAACTTCTTATAAAAGGAAGTATAATTTTTTTTTCAGTTTCAAAGAACATCTATAAATGTATTGAAGGAACACTAAAAAGCTACTATTATTTTACTTTTTAAAGCGGAAAGAAACCCATTGTAACTTGGAACTGTTATTTTATTTTGTTGACTTAATCAATTTAAGGCAATTAAATTAATTAAATAACAAATTTTTAAACTTAATAAACATAGTGCTCTTGCCTCACAGCAAGAAGGTCGCTGGTTCGAGCCTCCGCTGGGTCAGTTGGCATTTCTGTGTGGAGTTTGCTTGTTCTCCATGTGTTCATGTGGTTTTATCCGGGTGCTCTGGTTTCCCCCACAATCCAAAGACATGTGGTACAGGTGAATTGGGTATATGCTAATATGCTCCGTATGAGTGTGAATCAGTGTGTGTGGATGTTTCCCAGATGGGTTGCGGCTGGAAGGTCATCCGCTATGTAAAAACGTGCTGGATAAGTTGACGGTTCATTCCGCTGTGGAGACCCCAGATTAATAAAGGGACTAAGCTGACAAGAAAATGAATGAATGAATAAAAAACATGAAGAAAAACGTATTGATGAAAATATAAAATTATTTTAGCTTTTTTTTATGGGAAAAACTTTAAGGGAAATATTACAACTTTCAGCCTCAATAAAAAAACATCTACATTTATTGAGGGAAATTATATTTTTTGCCTCAAAAAACATCTAAAAACTTACTGGAAATTTTTTTTTATCATTTTCAGCCTAAAAAATTACACTTTTTTTTTGGTTTGAAAGAACATCTAAAAATATATTGATGGAACGCTGTAAAATATAATTATTATTTTAATTTTAAAAAAGCAAGGAAAACCGTTGTAACTTGGAACTGTTAAGTAAATTTATTTTGTTGACTTAACCATTTTAAGGCAATGGGCAATTCATTTAAGGCAATTCATTTCTTTAGGAAAAGTCAAATAATTGCTTTAAAGGCAACAGGTTTACTCTTAGTTTTTTATGTAGTCAACTAATCAATTTTTTATAATGAAATAAAACATTTTCAGCCTCTAAAAATACAAAAACTTCTTGAAGAAAATGTTAAAGATATTAGCATTAAACAAACATGAAAAAAAATTATTGAAGAAAATATTTAATTATTTCAGCTTTAAAAAAAACAAACTTTTTGAAGAAAATTAACAACTTTCAGCCTCCAAAAAACATCAAAACTTCTTGAGGGAAATTATATTTCTTAACCTGAAAAGCATCTTAAAATGTCTTGAAGAAAATATAAATATTTTCAGCCAGAAAATGATGTTTCAAAGAACACTGTAAAACAACCGTTATTTTTCACTTTAAACAAATGCAAGGAAAGCCATTGTAACTTGAAACTGTTACACTGACTTTATTTGTTGACTTAATAATTTAATGCATGTTTAGTTGATTTTTTTTTAAGTAACTAATTGCTTTTACTGAAATATTACATTTTTAAGCCTCAAAAAACATCTTAAAGGATAATACCTGAAGCGCATACAGAACATGAAATATCAGCTTTCTCCTATATTTATGTGCTCCATTGTTGGGGAACGGTTTTCAAATTAAAACGGCACTAATAACACTTCCTTCATTAACTAGAACATTTAAGGAAATAATAAATAAGCCTTGTTGATGTTTTGTTTAAGAGATTGATGTACGACTGATGGTGAATGTTAATATATATAACTTTGTTTTGTGTTTTGTGTGTGTTACTTTCCTAAAATTAGGCTCTCTGTACAATCATCTTGATCAGGACTCCCTAGAAGAGAAGATTTCTGTGAATCTCAATGGGACCATGACTAAATAAATGACATTTTTCAGCCTCCAGAACATCTAATTTAGCCTATAAACATGTTTATGCCGAACACAGAGCTTCATGATAACACACAACCGGTTCAACTCAATCCCACAAACCCAATTGGACCTTCTAAAACACCCGACCTAGGGGGATTCAGGAAAATCCGCTCCACTGGAGAACCAATCCCAAATCCCATCCCAGGCCTGGCGTCAGATGTGCTGGAAATGCGTGTGAAGGAAGGAAGCAAAATCCGCAACCTTTTAGGCTTCGCCATGTCTCGAATTGAAGGCGACGGACAGACGCAGGTTCTGTTCAGCGGGACAGGACGAGCAGTGACCAAAACCATCACCTGCGCGGAGATAATGAAAAGGAAAGTGGCAGGTTTACACCAGGTGTCAAAGCTCCAGTACAGGACAGTGACAGAGGTTTGGGAGAGTCAGGAGAGTCAGATGACCGTCCACAGAACTTTACCTTCCATTTGTATTCTGCTGTCCAAGGAGCCGCTGGACCCGCATGAGCCCGGATATCAGCCACCCGTTGAAACGAACACTCTGTCAGAGGAACACAGACAGGTGGATGGAGTGCAAGGATCTGGGAAGACCGAAAAAAGACCCCTGAGTCCTTGTGATCATCCTGGTCTTAAACGAGCAGCTTTGGGAAAGGATTAAACTTCAGCTCTGTGGAAGAGATCTTAAGATATAAGGAGGAATTTGCATTAAAGTATATTTTTTAGTGTATTAAATGAAATGTTTTGGATAAATGAAGGATGCAATAGATGCGAACGTGTTATTTGAGAGATGAAAATGCATGATGTAATTTGGCTAGTTTTAACTTATTTTATTAAAGGGCACCTGTGATGAAAATCGTCTTTTGTAAGCTGTTTGAACAGAACTGTATGTATCGTATGTCCACAGTCATATGGGGTGATATATAGACAATAAGTCTCTTTTTTTTAATATCCTGATGATAATTTGGGATCCAAATCCCTCCCATTTCGAGGCCCCCCGCAACATGGTGTATGAGTGCGGTTTCCCCATTATTTCTCACAAACGTTACTTGAGATCTGCTTCCTTTCATTATGATAAGAAAAATGTGTATGATATTAGAAAAAGATTTCTTTCATATCCAGTTGATTCTAAATGTAAAGAAGTGGACTTTAAAATTATGAATCACATTTATCCTGCAAAAGAATTTCTAAGGTTAAAAATTCAATATTGGGGGCTCAAATAAATGGCCGTTTTGTAATTTATATATTGAAACAACTGAACACTTGTTTTTCTGAAGTAATTTGGTACAAACATTTTGGTATGAAGTATTAGTTTGGATACAACAGAAAGTATCTAAGACTTATCCTCTCATGGGAAATTATTAAGTTTGACCAAATACTTAAGGATAGAAAGATATCGAATGAATAACTTGTAGTTATTAATGAAATTCTATTTTCATAAATGTAAATTTTTCAGAATTCTCCCAAGACTAGTGGCATTTAAAAAAGAATTTGTGATATATTTGAAGACATTAAGAGAGACGAAAAGCCAAAAAGAAAGAAATGTATGTTCATCATTAGAGGATTTTGGTTCCATATTTTGGTTCACTCCCCTGTTACGTATTTTTCTTTATTATTTTATTTTTCTTTTTTGTTTTTTATTTATTTATTTATATTGGTTGTATTATTATTATTGAGAATGGAAAGATTGTGAATGTATGTAAATTGATTGTTATTTCAGTATTTTGTGTAATTAAAAAATAGATATTTCTGTTCAAGCATTAGTAATTAAAAAAAAAAGATTTGCTTCCTTCAAGTCTGTCACTGTGCTGTTTATCTGATGCAGGCGGAGACTGAGGCATACTCTGACAAGCAAGTGGGAACGGTGGGCAGAGAGAACTAACAATAAAGGCACAGGCAACAAAAACAGCAACAATGTGTGCAGAGCAGAAAATATTCAATATTTGAAGGTATAATTAAAAATCTGATGAGTGTTTTGAGCTGAATCTTTACAGACACATTCTGGAAACACAAAAAACTTATCTTAAATCTTGAAAAAAGAGTAAAATAGATGCCCTTTAAATTATATTATTATTGTTAAATTATATCATAAAATAAAAACAAATCAATTGTCAATCAGTTTTATTCATATTTTCATGTTGTCATGAACATAATGTCAGAATTATTAGCCCTCCTGTTAAATTTGAAATTTTTTAAAAATATTTTTTCCTTAAGTTCTGTCTGACAAAGAGAACTTTTTTTCAACACATTTCTAAACATAAACATTTTAATAACTAATTTCTAATAATTTATTTATTTTATCGTTTCCAAGATGATAGTGTGTGATATTCGACTAGATACTAGTATTCAGCTTATAGAACAATGTAAAAACGTAACTAGGTTGATTAGGTTAATAAATATAGTAATTCAGTTTGTTGACATTTTTGAAAAAGATGTTTTTAAATTGTATCAAATAAATTATTAATTAATATAATTTGAATATGTATTGATCATAAAAAATGTATCACAAAAGCATACTTTATAAATTAAATATAAATAAGATTCAAATAGATCAATTGTTTTTTTAAGATAAACACATCAACACAAAATAAACAAAAAATAAATAAATAAATAAAATTGGTTCCAAATAAGTATAATACTAATAAAGAAAATACTTTTTGCAAAAATGTTATTAATAAAACATCTAAATAAACAATCTAAATGTTCCCAAATGTAATTTAAATAAATAAGATAAAACTACTAATTAAGATAACTAACTACTAATTAGATTTGTTGACAAATAATTGATAAAATTTGCAAACATATTTATGCATATATAAATAAAAGTGTGGTGAAGCAGTGGCGCAGTAGGTAGTGCTGTTGCCTCACAGAAAGAAAGTCGCTGGTTCGATCCTCGGCTCAGTTGGTGTTTCTGTGTGGAGTTTGCATGTTCTCCGTGCATTCGCGTGGGTTTCCTCCGGGTGCTCCAGTTTCCCCCACAGTCCAAAGATATGCGGTACAGGTGAATTGGGTATGAGTGTATGTGAATGAATGTTTGTGGATGTTTCCCAGAGATGAGTTGCGGCTGGGAGGGGTAACAAACATGCTGCATAAAAAACATGCTGGATGAGTTGTCGGTTCATTCCGCTGTGGCGACCCCAAATTAATAAAGGGATTAAGCCGACAAGAAAATGATTGAATAAATAAAAGCATACAGCCATGCAGTATTATATTAATAATAAAAAAACATATTTAATGAGCAAAAAAAAAAAAAAAGTAATGCTTTAATATAAATATAATATAAATTAGGATAATTAAAATTTGGACTTTTTTTTAAAAAGAAAAATATTTTATTTAGGTGTCTGGAATTTAAAAAACCTTTGTGTGTGAACCATAGACTACGAAAATAAAGCTGTGTTTTACTTATGAAATGTAAGATTGCCCTCTGCTGGTCTAAACAATTATTTTGGAAACAATTCTTGATGCAGTAGGCTTACTTTTTGTTTTAATATCATTGTTAAAAACAATAAAACATTATAACATTGTTTTATAACATATTTTACCTTTGACATTGCAATGAATTATAGCTTTAGTTTGTTTTTATCTAGCATTAACAATGATATCAGTGCTACAGTTTAAACCACTATGACTTTGATTAAAAATATTATGTTAAAGTTTTTTTTTTAGTAATGACAGATATAAATGTGATGATTTTAAGCAACAACTAATGATTTTGAGCAATTGCTTCTTTGTTTGAACAGATATGGTTACAATAAACGCAGATTATTGCAGCTTGGCGTTTTGTTTTTAAATTTGTGTTTTCAAATGCTTTTAAAGCGTATATGTGTTACCATGTTCATACATACCACAGCTCAAAGAGACGCTCGGTGAATTGTAAACAGCTCAAAATGTATATTTTGCCCTTCATGCTCTTTTATAATCCTCTTGGCAAATCGTCTTACTATATATCAACCACGAGCAGCCATGTCCATACACGGCTAAGCAGTGCGCATGCGCAGTCACACGCCAGTCGCGTGTAGTGTTAGCATCTCGGCTATCTGAACTAGCCTCAACCTGAGTCTCTCTCGTTCTTCAATCCGAGCTACGCTTGAGCCCGGTGAGCCGCACTATGTTCCGAGCCGCCCTTCGACTGTCATTCTCCGGTGCTCGGAGTTTAGCAAGGTCACGGCCACAGTATACAGGTAAACAACGATTTTGTGACTTAATTATGAAGTCGCTAACATTTCTAAAAGTCAATGAGAGGCAGGGTTTACGGAAAAACCTTGAACGTAGCTTAGCACATCAGCTAACCCAAGCGACACCGGTGTGTTTAATTAAAAGCTTATATCTCTAAGTGGCTACCTTGCACTGTGTTATCTTCTACTGTGTGACATTTACATGTTATAACTGTGTATGTGTTGTTAATTTTTTTACTCCTTATATATGATTTTGACAGTGTCCTTGTAATGACCCACTAAAGTGAGGCTTCGGCCCAGCGCTAAGAGGAAACGCGACACTCAAACCGAAAGCATCCCACGTATATTAATTTCGGCTTTTATTGAAGCAGCAAGTCTAATTGGCACATTGAAAGATTATTCAACCCATTTAGCGTAGTAAACATGCTTTGTGGTATGCAATTTATGCATGGTTATATTACATTTAACGAAGCAGAATATGATTGCTAATGAATATGAAGAATCCGCATCAAACTCGCATTGCGAAATTGCAAAGCAAATATTTTTCTATTAAAGCATATTGACCTCTATGCAAACACACACAAGGTCATAATAGATTACAAAATATAGGCTAGTAAAACTCGAAAATAGTATCAACATCAACATTTCACGTGATGGTTTTATGTATTAAGTATATTTTGGGATACTCGTCGTCTGACCTTCCTTAGCAGACAGTTATGAGTTAGCTTGAAGCACGCCACCACATCAGTCCATGATGTATCACTCAAACATAGGTCATAAAAGAACACTGGACAAATTCCAACTGGGACAAAATCTCACTGCATTAAGGCCCTAACACAGTTAATGCATTTTCAATAATATTTAAATTACCCAAGCAACAATATACTGGTAGCAAACATCCCGACACTGATGACACATATTTTGTATGATGTGTAAATGTGTGATGTGGATTCTTTGACACAAGACCACACTAAATAAAAATGTGCATCTGTTTCACTAGTGCAGCGTTTTAGACTTAAGATGCCAATATGTTTATATGAGGAAGAATAAACTAAAATTATCATTTCGAACAAAATTCAAAGGAGCCAAGTTCGTTTTGGTAGTTTGAAACAGCTCATAGAAGTGAACTTTTTTGGGACAAATAATTTTGGATCCTCAACACTTTTGAGCTGTTGTTTTGTGGTGAGTATGCAACTGGAATTCTACCTTTAAATGTAAAAGAATAAACATTTTGTTTCGACTTTTAAAGTTTGCTTTTTGTTTGCGAAGAAACTTTTTTTTTTTTGGCTGTTTGACGTATCAGGTGACTGAAACAAATCTTTTGAAAACTGCCACCAGGATAAAGATTTTCAGAAACTATTTGAAACCGTGTGGACAGACAAACCGGACATTTAGACTCATAGCGTCTGTGCACAGTTTTTCTTTTTTTTTCTCCTAATGTTCGACGTCAAATTATGCGCAGCTAGCTCCTTTTGCAGGCTTTTGATTGGTTAACATAGCTTTAAGCCATTAAGGTAATTAAGGTTATATCACAACCTGGTGGCCCAACATGCTCCTGACAGTGCATCAAAGCATATTTTCATGTTTTGTTTTTTTTACCAATGAGGAAAAAACTCCATTTATTATATACCCATGGATGCGGGCTGACTTTAAAGGCTTGTACACACCGCGATGCTTTTCATTTGCGTTTATGAGACGTTTTTCCGGATTCAAACCCAAGCAATTTTTCACTGGCGTTAGATGGCGCTAAACAACTTTAAGCTTCTGACCCCCGCTTATAACAAAGAAAAGAAAGAGAGGAAGTTCACACGCTTGTTGTTAAAGTTACTGGTGACTCGAACAAGCATGAATGGTTCAAGTAGCAGCTCTAGGGATGAAGAAATGATTATTATACACCGAGCAATAAGCAGCTCCACGTTCATATTGCCTCTGGGCATCTTCAATGTGCTCTTGCATTGACAGTTTTGCGCTTGAGCGCCTTCAAGTGCTGTTTACTGTAACTTCAGCAGCTCCGTGCACGTGAACAAAAGTGCCAATCTGATTTGGAGGGCTGCGTCAAAACAAAAAAACGAGCATGAGGCGTTTTTTTTTTTTTAAATAACGCTTTCGCGCCTGGCGTTTTGCGCGTTGGTGTGCACGATCACATTGGCACCCTTTATTTAGTAACGAAGCGTTAAACGTTGATGGAAAACACAAGCAAGAATCATCCCGGTGTGCACTGGCCTTAATGAAGAAGGAACTGCAAGTTTAAGAAGGCGGAGCCTCAGAGCCACACCCAACATTTATATTCATGTCAATGATGGATCAAATGTTTTTAATGAACTTGAAGGAACTTTCTGGAAAACTTACTTAGCCAGGTTTCGAGCTCGTCCCCTGATAAAGAATGGAATACGCCAAAGTGAAGTTTTGAGCTTTTGAATCAAACTCTGATTTGCCCTGATCTAGTTTGAAGTGACCACGCCAATTGCACTGGGAGTACATCCAGGCTTCAAGGTGCTGTTTAAACTAATGCATTTTTGTTAAAAAAAAAAAAAGGTTTTATTAACGGTACGCCTGGCGTCTACACTGCTTTTGCATATTTGATCTAAGAAAACAGCATTTTGAAAATGCTGAAGATGTAAAATGCGTAAATGCTGGTGTTCTGTTTCAATATAGACTGACTGAAATGCAAACTTTTGAAAATGGAGGCACGGCTATCCCAAAATAGCTTTGACTGGTCTTCTGGACTTTTTCGTATTGATTCATCTAGCTCCTCTTATATTACCATTATGCAACTGATAAACTAAGTATGGATGACGGCACAGTATGTGTATGCTTAGTGAATGATACGTGAATTAACATGCGTTTGATACTATATGCTGTGAATGGAAAACAAAGTAAAAACGGCAGTCTTGATGATTATAAAAATGCCTTTTAATGAAAGAAAATGCACTCGTGCAGCCAAAGTAAATCATTAAATTAGATTCATGACCCTTTTTATGCCTTCAACACTTCCCGGAAGTACTTTGGTGGTAAAAGCAGATTTTTATTGCCTGCATGTCAATTTCTAACGCATTTAAACTCGCCTAGTTAATCAGTCATGCTTGAAGCTTATCTGATCTTTTTCTTTCACAGCATCAGTAGCTGCTCGCTCTTATTCCCATGGCAAACAGGAGACGGATGAGGAGTTTGATGCCCGCTGGGTCACTTACTTCAGCAAGCCAGACATCGATGCTTGGGAGTTGAGGAAAGGTGGGTGGTGATGGTGGTGTTTTGATTTCTAAGCTTGTAAAGCAAGATTTTACTTTCAGAAATGTATTAACTTTCCCCTAAACAGTCCCTTTAAGAGCCTGTTCATTTAATATGAAAAAAAGATAAGTTCCACACATTTATGAGTTTTTATTTTTTGTTGAACACAAAGTAGGTATTTTGTATATTGATGGGCACATATAGCGACTGACATCATATCTTTTTTTGCCACTATTGAAGTCAATGGCCTATGTAATTCAAAGAAGCTCATAAGAGATTGGAACAGGTGGAGGGAGAGCAAATGATGATGAAATGTCCATTTTTGGGTGAACATGAACAATCGCTTTTAGATTACAATAATTCATAATTAAATTCTAAAACAAGATATAGTAATTTTATATATTAAATTATAGGTACATTATACTGAATTTAAATTGACCTTTTTAAACAAAATGACTGTAAATTTTGTATTTTTTTATTTTTATTTCATAATGAATGCATTAACTTTTACATTTTTATCAATATAATCAGTTTATTAATAATAGTAATATACCTTAAGCCTCAGTTTTTCTTCACAGTTTGTATAATGTACATATTTTTTAAACTGTCCATTTTGAATTGCTTTTTATTATTAATACACCTTAAGCAACATCAAGTATCTTTCAGTTGTTGTAATACACCATTAGACAAAGAGACAAAGCATTCTGAATCTGTTGTTATAGGTTAGACTTATTGTTTGTTTTTAATGTGTACTTACCTGTAAAGCTGGTTTAGTTTAATCTGTTAGTATAGGTGCATCCAAAACTTACGTCTTTTTTGTGGTTTGTCTATAAAAATCTTTGAAACGAACACATTTGCGGTTGCCGCAAGCCAGAAAGATCTAGCAGAATAACACCCTCTGGTGGCTGTGAAGTAAATGCATTTTCTCTTTTGTTTTGCTTCAGGAATGAACACTTTGATCGGTTATGACTTGGTACCTGAACCAAAGATCCTGGATGCAGCACTCAGAGCCTGCCGGAGGTTAGACGATCTGGCCAGTGCCATCCGGATTCTTGAGGCAGTCAAGGTCAGTAAAACTCTTTGGCCAACTGCAGAATACAACACGAGGATGTTGTTTGCTTAATGTGGAAAGTTTATAGGTTTTAATAAACATTTTTAAATATTTTTTTCTAAAAGTATATCATGTAATTATATTTTACTCAAACTTTCCTGCAGGATAAAGCTGGCCCACACAAAGAGATCTACCCTTACGTTATCCAAGAGCTGCGGCCCACACTTGATGAGCTTGGTATTGCTACACCTGAAGAACTTGGCATTGACAAAGCATAGATGTCTACGATTGTGGTGAGTATTAGCATAACAGAAAAAAAAATAACAACATAAAAATGTGTTTCTGTACCTTAACAAGTCCAATGTATCTTTCCTTTTTGTATACAGAGTCTTCCAGGAGACTGCTGCTCTTGCCTGGACTGAGAGACCACTGTACTTGAAGTCTTTGCCTCATGTCATGGTGTTTGTGTTCTATTTAATTGGCCTTTATTATGTTCTTTTGCTTGTAAAATATTGATGACCTAATAAAGGGAGATATATCTTTACTCAGTCTTGTGTTTCTATCTGATGTGTTGGACTTTGCTTCATATGTGTAGATTTAAATGCTAACTCTGTGTTTGTTTATTTAAATGCTTATAATCAATCTCAAAACTGTTGAGTTCTTCTACTTTGTTTTTTTTTTTCAACTCTGAAGTAAATTATTTACTAATATTTTGAGAACCCACTGAACTGTTTTGTATTTTGGACTTCAATGAAAACAAACCGTTTCCTGTGAATGGGTGAGTTTTGGTTCATTAGATCCTGAGGTAAACAAAGTGATGTTTAAAATGGAATAGTTTGAGGTTTAAACTAGTGTTTACCGTTCAGTTACGTTCATATCATTACCGTTTGCTCAAAATAGCGTAAATTGGTGTGTTTTACACACTTAAAGCGGCAAAAACACCGGAAAGAATTCCCGCGCCTGCTCTAACTTGAAGTGAATGGTAAACAGTTTTGTTTTGTCCGTGACACTCGCTGTAATAGCGAGCGTCATAGCGCTGTATAACCAACAGAGGACGTAACAGGAATGCGAACAACGTAAATCACACATCAGTAAAATTACACTTAAAAACGAGTATTTTAAAGAAGTGACGCACTTTGAATATAAACGCACTTTTATCGGATGATTAATAGTTGTTTATTTATGTTCTTCTACACTTTTTTTATATGT